ATCTGGTATGTTTACATACATTGTAAATTTCTTTTACATGTCCTAAATAAAAATAAAATCAAATCTGATTGGCTCCCTGTATCCATAATCAGTAAGTAATGTTTCATCATCAGAGCTGCTCCTGCTGATCGTTATTGATCAGTTTTGGTTTCATCTGAACAGATCATCTGCAGCGCCCCCGTCGCCCCACCGGGGAACTGCAACCTGCTGCAGGTAGTACCGGACGTCAGGCCTGGTTCTTTCACAGTAAAAGTACAGCAGTCTGACGTGTTGTTAAATATACCTCCTGACACAAATCCAAAAATCTGAATCTGTGACAAGAAAAGTCTGTAAACTGACAATGACAGCGAGGCAAGCAAAGGTAAGAAGCAGAGCACGTGTCACTTCCTGTCGTGTCTGCAGCTCGTTGTTTCGACTAATGTGTCGTGAAGAAAACCCAGCGTTGAGAGGCTAAGTCACACCTGGACAGGTGCCTCAGAGAAATCAGCAGGGGGCGATATAACCCCAACCCAGCTGGGTTGATGATCAAACCTGAAAATCCGTACCAGGTAAATAATCTGACAGAAGAACAAGCAGAGTATCGTTAATCTGGTGATTTGTGACCGAGTGCTATGATACAGAATGGCAGACAATGACTTTGTGTCTGAGGCTCAGAGCTGCTGTCATGTGAGACTTTAGAGACGGTATCCATGGAAACATTACAGCTTCCTGTCCCACCGCCCAATGAAGGAGACGTGAAATCAGATCAGAGAGAGTGATTGGTTGATCAGGTGTTCAGGTGTGTGTTCTGTGTTTGCAGCAGTAGATCAGAATCCTCCCCTGCATCAGTGAACATGCACCTGCTGAAGCTGGCCTTCATCATCACGCTGCCTGAAGCTCAGTTTGGTGACAATAAGGCATCAGAGAAAACAAAACCTGCACCTGACCAGGTGATGTGCTCAGCATCCGTCACCAGCAGGTGAAGCGAGCACTCGCTCCGGGTCTGAACCTACAAACCTGTCTGCCTGGGGTTTTATTGTGAAGGGCTGCACCGGAAGTGTGTGGTTGCGAGCGTGCTTGGAGCCTCCCTGCAGCGGAGCAGAGAGGAGGAGAAGGAGGAGAAAGAGCTGAAGGTCACAGCTGGAGCAGCATCATCAGCATCGATCGATCCTGTGATCGATCATCGGCCGCTGATCGGTCACAGCAGCAGCGAGACACACCGGCAGCCTCCGCCTGTCTCCGCCCGCCTCTCCGCCATGGGGAACCGGGGGATGGAGGAGCTGATCCCGCTGGTGAACCGGCTGCAGGATGCCTTCTCCGCCATCGGCCAGAACTCCAGCCTCGACCTGCCGCAGATCGCGGTGGTGGGCGGTCAGAGCGCCGGCAAGAGCTCGGTGCTCGAGAACTTCGTGGGCAAGTGAGTCCGCGTGCGTGTGCG